GACACACACACACACACACACACACACACACACACACACACACACACACACACACACACACACACACACACACACACACACACACACACACACACACACACACACACACACACACACACACAAAAAAAAAAAAATTTTTGAATATTTGTTATACAATTTCACCTATTATTCACAAGAGCAACATACCTCAATAGCTTGCTTCAGTTGAGGTTTACTGACTTTAGAGATTTTGATTGTTTTGAGCACAGCAGAGGCTGCTTTGCTAAGGTTTTCAGTATCATCATCATTGCAGTGTCGTCCCAAAAGGACCCCTCTCCATTCTCTAAGGCACTTGTTCTCTATGTAGCTCATCATATCCTGCAAGCAGACATAATCTTACACTATGAATACATGTGAATTTTCATAATTTGGATTTTTAACTTTTGGTATTTTGAACATTTAAATATCTCTTTAACCAAAATTGAGTGTTATCTTTCTTTGCTTCTAAAAAATTGACCTGATCAGAGAACATCGCACTGTAGATGGACATTACCTTGAGTCTTTCATCTAGTTCCCTCCTTGTGGTCCACCAAGCTACTTTCTCTGTCAGATTCATGCTTTCCTTACATGCTGTCATGATGGTGGCAAATTCTTTGTGCATTTCTCCATACTGGAAGGTAGAGATAATCCATATGTATCAGCAGATATGCACTAAGTTGATTTAAAATATTTATAAGAATGTTTCATTACTATCTCAACTATTTAAACAAGAGAGTACAATTCATTATCTCCCTGAAAAAATTTTGAACATGCCCAGCAGTAGACAATTAGCCTTATCCACAGTACAACACTACATGTTTATCTTTAACAACACTTACTGCAAACATAAACCCCGGGACTTTGACAATGAAGGGTTCTTGTTGTGATCTGTATCTGGTGATAACTAGCTTGCTGTTCCCTCCTTCACAGATAAACCCAGACAACTGGCAAACTGTCCACTCTGGGGTGAGGAAAAGATACACTTGTATATGTAAGAAAACACAGTGTGTGTACATTTACTATATACACACATAATATAAAAAAGATTATGCACTAGTAAGTACCTAAACTAATACAAGGACCATATCTTAATGTATGGTGAGATTGAGAGCACTGTTTTGACAAAAGTCTGAAAATCAACATTGTTACTTATTGAGGAAAACAGGGGTATATTTAGCTGCTATAATTAGTGTCTTACCCTTTGGCAAACTGTGACAAAATGCCTGAATGCTCTCAGGTGACTGCTGAAAACTAAAATTATTCTGCATCTTTTGTAATTCCTCTTGGTATTGCACTGGATTGTTGTACGCTGCTGGCTCTTTGGCAAGCTTTCTGAAAAGATGCAAGGTTTCCAACATATCAGTATTCATAAAACATCACTAATTCACCACATAAATAAACTTCTATAAAGTGAAAAGTGCATTACACTTATTGAAAATAAAGTTTACCAACCACTTTGAGCCTTCAATTAAAATACAAGTTACTTCTACTTTCCAACTTACTTAATCTTCTTGTTGCAGCTGGCTAACAAGGAATGTCTGAATGTGACAGCCACTGCTTCTGACATGTAGAATGCTGCTGCAGTAGGATCTCTCTCCACCAGCAAAAGCCCCAGCATATGACACACTTTACGGTACAGAAGCATAGGAGGAAACTGTCTTATAAGATTATAGGCCTTGTTCAGCAAATCAATGCATTCTTCAGGATCTGAAATGGGAGGACAAGATCAAAAAAAGTGGTGGATGAAAATATAACTCATATATGTCATTTTCTTGAGGTGTGACTTTTGAAATCAGGCTAAAGGAATTAAATTCAATCAAGTGTATAACTGGAAAGTTACAGAGAAAAGATTCACTGTAAATTTGTACTGTATGAAGATCAATCCCAATTCTGCTACACCCTTTCTGTTCCTAAGAGCCCCAGATGCCCTTCACAATGTTGTAAAAGGGAAAAATTACTACATTGGCTTACTACATTAAGTTCTCACTTGTAAAACAATGTATGTCCTTTACCTGTAAAATTAGCTTCAAAGTCATCTTCACCTTCACTCAGTTCATCTTTAAAAACTTGGACTTTCACTGTTTTTGCTGGTTTCACATTTTTCTTCCCATCTTCTTTGATAGTCCTTGGGGCTTCAACATCCTCCGCACTGTTAGTCAACTTGCCCTAAAAAAAATAACACTAAATTTCTAAACAAAATGTATCACTTTTTCCCCTCTTTTTCTTTGCTTATTATTATTATTATAATTATTATTATTATTATTATTATTATTTATTTATTTTTTACTGTTGTACACAGATGTGAATTTTAATACTCAGTTACTGGGTCAGCACTGTTATTAATTCCATCTAAATTTAGAAATACTTTAAAATATGAAGAAGGGCAATTCAATATATAAATAAAATACATACACTCTTAGCTCTCCTTCCCCTCCCTCTCGTTGTCCTCTTTTCTTGTGGTGTGTCCCCAGCCCTCAGAACCTCTATTGATGCATCTAAACTGAAAGCTTCTTCAGTCTTGTGTACCAGACCTGGGCTGTCCAATGTGTCATGTACAAGGTTGTCCACATCTACAGCTACTTCCTCCTCAACTATTGCATCACCACAAGGTATAGCCACATCCTCGTCAGATTCGGATATATTTTCTCTTTGATGCTCTATAAAATCCACCTTGGACCTAGTCATCCGCACTGGGCGACCACGGCGTTTGGGCCTCTCAGCAACAGCTGGACAAACCTCAATATCTTCCATGCCCTTTTCCTCTGCAGTCAATGCAGCTCCCTTGATTTTCCCTTTTCTTGCAGGGGCTTTGCAAGCCAAACTAGTTGCAGGGACTACATTGGCCACCGGGCTGTCAAAGGAGTAAACATCTCCTGTCACTGGAGATTGTAATAAAGGATTTGAAGCCAGGTATTTGCCATTTTTGACAGAACTGATGGAGGGTCTTGGGCTATTCATGTCAATGACTTTGAGACCATTCACAACACTTTTAGCATCAAGTTCATTAAGCAGTCTGGTATCCTTCCCACTGGGTAATACCACTGATGTTTCAGTTTCCACCTTGCGATTTGATACTGCTGCTTTCTTTCCCTTTCCTCTTCCAGTTGTTGATGTGGTTTTCCTTGTGCCTGTCCTCTTGTTTTTTGTGGATTTGATTTTGTCCTCTTCACTATCACTATCTGCCATCAGCATGTCCAGAGCTGCTCTTCGACTTGATACACTCTTCGGGGTCTTCATTGCCATTGGAGTGAAAATCTCTTCTTTTTTCACTGCTCTGCTGCTGGCTTTTGGGGTCTTCAGAGGAAGGGGTGTCATCAAATTGGAAGCGAAATCAGTGGCCTCCTCATTTTGAGTGCCAGTTTTTTCTCGCTTGGTTTTCTGGGGTGGACTCTTGAACAAAACAATGTCCCCATTCTCATCTGTTTTCCTTCTTCGTCTGTTGTTGGTTGATGTTTCTTGAGTTGAATCACTGGTTTCAGCAGAGGTTTTTCTTCCTTTTCTTCGAGCCGATGGATTTGTGATCTTATCTGTTGAAACTTCTATGGGAACATTCTCTGTTGAGGCCTTGCCACTGTCCACTTTGGGTTTCATTTTTGTTTTCTCATTTTTGCTAACCAAGTTAGTATCATCTAAGCTTGGTAAATTTCCTTCATCTTTCACATCCATGCGATTAAGCATATCAGTTATATTGTTCAAAGTAGAATCCTCCTTACTTGTTATTTCAACCTTCTGAAATTCATCATTCAGGTTAGACACAATGTTGTTGTAGTCACTTGGTTCTGCCATTCCTTTTAAACCAACAAGTGCCTGTAAATAAAACACAAATGCCCTCTCTTTCCAGAGGTTTACCAAGCCTGTCGCAGTACTACAGTTGAGATGAGAAGCAGCCCTAGCTAATGCCCTTCCAGCAGGGCCCCACTGCAGGTTGGTCTCAATCTTGGTATCTGCTACCTGAATATAAAACCGCACACTCCATGGTAAAAATAGTGATTCCACAAGTTTGTCAATTTCTTTTTTTCCTTTGTACAAGTTATCACAACTCTTTGACATCAGGGTCTGAGTAGACTTCTGGAAAGCAGTGTTGTAAAACTGTAGCCCTGTCTTGACAAGTGTGGCACATTCTGACACAGCAAACATTTCCATGGACAAACAGGCTAGCCCATGGATGTATTCCATGCTCAGGGGGTGAAGAATGAAATCATGACAGAGGACACAACTGCATTTGTTGCTGTGGGATAAATACACAGGAAGTTTACTTTCGTGCTTCCGGAGAGATGGAGATGCACAAGGGTCCTCATTTCCACTGTCATTTTCATCACTTGGAATTGGATCTTCAAGGACTTTTCTTTTTAGGAAATCCAACCCTTTTTCACTATCATCATCTTCTTCGTCAGATATGTCAAATCCAAAGCAATCATCTTTCTTTTTCTGCTGCTTCTCTGCCTTCTCATTTTCAACATCCATCTTTCTTGTTGGCTGCTTTTCAGGTTTTACAGTGTGTACCTCCGAGTTCAGAATGAAATGCACCATGTTCAACTTGGCTTCTGCATCAGTGAATTTTTCTGACAATGTATCCAGCTTGGCCAAGGACAGGAGGAACCCTGACAGTCTAAAATGTGAAAAAAATCATGTCAATGATTAAACAGCTTAAAACCAAAATAATTTAGCCTTCATAAAATATTCAATATTCCTTGGCAACTTAATACCAGCTTTTTGGAAGATAAATTTTCATAGCTCAGACATTTCTTATTGTTACAAACATTGTCATACTGGAATACCATGGCTTTAGATTAAATTACTACAGTACATGCCTTCATATAGCTGTTCCAGATATTTATCACATACAAACTCCAGCTTACCTTCTAGGCATGTTAAACTCCTGTGCCAGTATCATCCCCTCTTTGAGGTAACACTTGGCTGCTCTGCTCTCCCCAATATCCAGGTACATGTGTCCAGTGGCTTGCAGTGTGTCCAGGTACTCTGTCATGATGGACCACTTGTCCATTAGTGAGGCTGGAAAAATCAACAATAAATCTCATAAAATATTTCATATAGGAAAAGGTAATTTACTCTGATTATTTTCGAAAAAAAAAAAGTTCTTATTTATTTTTATCAAGCAACAGCATGATTTATATCAAGTTATTAATCAATTCACACAAATTTCTCAGAAATAAACACAAAATCTAACATTTCTATTAAAAATTATATACATACATATAAATATAATTCTGGATCATAAATAAATGTCAAGTAAAACATGAAACTACTTACCACTCTCCGAAGCTTTTCCCTGTAAGAATTTCCATACCCCAGTTAGCAGTGAACAAGCCTCATGCATTCTGTCCAGTGCATAATCCCCACACTCCCCTACTGCAGCATGGTACGGGGGCAAGGTCAACATCTTGGCCAGACATCTCTTCATGGTGCCTTCCACTATACACCAGTCCCTTGTACGGGCTGACACCAAGCTTTGCTGCTGGACCATCTCAAATATCTCTTGAGCTTCACTGAACTGTAAACCAAGAATCAGACAGTCTGACACATGAAAAACTGAACCAGACTAAAAATTTTTCGAAGAGAGGATGTGTAAATATATCAAATGGGCAAAAAACACATAAAAAATGCATAGAAGGGTAATGTTGTTACACAATCTTTTATTTCAAGTTTTCAAGGATATCCTTGATAAAATTGCGATCTAATCAAACTAATTCATGTCTTCAAGATGCAAAAAAGACTTTTTCGCTGCCATTTCTCTTACATTTAAAAGGATATTTAAACTACAAAATCCCCTAGATTTTCATTGAGAGAAAAAGCAGAAATTCAATATCTTATTCAGTTAACGAACCTTTTGTGAGAGCACCATGACTTCTGCCACAGCTACCCTGTATTTCCACACAACATACTCCTCACTGGACCTATCAGGCTTCCATTTCTCTAACCAGCCATCCACCTGGTCCATCAGTACCTTGGCTGACTGAGGCTGGTTTAGACTGCACAGCAACTGGATCTGCAAGGTGTGCAAGGACACACGCAAGGCAAAACTGATGTGATCACCCAAGTGGCTGGCTGCTGAGAGAGCTCTCAGTGCTTGCACAGGCTGAAAAGATTAAGAAATAAAACCTGAGGAACCACAAGCAGAATACATACTTCTAGAAAAGTAAGAGGAAGAATTTCATGTCGTGCCAAATAGCAAGTACTTCACTGAATCCTCTTCTGCTGAAAGATGAAGACGAGGTTTGTGAAGGGGACAGGATTTCAGACTACTTTTTTTGTCACTTAATCACAACATACTGAATCTCATATTGAAACTTGATGCATCTGACTTAACCTATCAATAAAAACAAAAATCCAATGACATTATGTAACATACTTTCCCAGCCATCTTGTATAACTGTGCCACCTGGAGAAGGCCCTCAGAAGTTACAACACAGTCCCTCACACAATCTGCTCTGCAACCATCTGGTAGTATAGCAGACCACAGGTCAAGTGCTTTATCCAGGTTGGCAATGGCTTGGTTCTCCATATGCAGTGTAAACACTGGACCATTCAATACACAATTTTCTTCTTCAGGTGTTGGAGAACCAGCACGTTCCACTGCCTCATCAGGTGCTCCCAGATTAGACTGAAATTATAAATTCATTAAGTAAATTTTTAAAAAAACTTAATCTAAAAATTGATTTTTTACAATATAAAGCATCATTTGTATCTTTTAATCTCACATGAAAATTTTCTTGACAGACAGAAACATAAGGGTGGTATATAAAGTGAAAATCATATGGGTATTTCAAAATAATCTAGCTGATATGTTTATGTAAGTACAGCATCTGTATATCATTGAATAGTATATACCTGTGACTCAGTTGTTATGCTTTCTGCCTCACATACATATAGCCAGAAGAATGCTCTTGCCAACACATCCTTCAATATTGACAATGTATACTTTTTGCCATTTCTTTGCAGTTCTTTTTCAAGCAGAGCAATTGCCTTCTTACAGTTTTCCACTGGAGACCTAGTTTTTTGGAGAGAAAATATATTAACAACAAATCTACTAGCAATTATGCAATCCCCTATTTTGATGATAAATTGGCAACATATAAATTTCAAGCAAAACAAAGATGAATTATAATAATATTCAATAAAACATTGGCATTGATAAAACAATAGCTTGTTTATTGCTTTAAGATGCATTGGCAATAAATAGTTTTAAAAAAGCAATACTTGACTCTCAAGACATGCTCAGTGCAAAGAAACAGAAAATGAATGTTTTTGAGAAATCAATCAATACCCTAAATATATCCTTTTCTACCACGAAAGGTAAACAGGTAGCACCATAAGATACATACTTCCAGTCTTCTTTAGCCAGTAAGAGCACTGCACTGTCAATCAAAGCCTCAGCTTGCACCACAGGACTAGAGGAGGTGTCAATCAATTTCTGTATAATTTCTGTTTGGTCTTCCAGTTTCAGAGTCCTAGTCAAGTCAAATGAAAATGTTATTTAGCTACATCAAAGAAAAAAACTGAGCATTAAAACTTCAATGTTACTATCTGAAAAGAGATATGATTTTGCAGACCCAAAGGTATCTATATGTAATATTTCCCACATCTAAATAAACATCTGTTAACTTGCCTTTACTACAGAATGTCTCTAAATTAGCTAGTATGTTCATAAACTTTCATAAAATGCAAGATGAGAAAATATCTCACTTAATATTTCTGTGAGCTCTCAGTTCACTTTCCAGAAAATCAACTTTGTCTCCTTCCTGAAGGTTTCCTCCATTTTCTTCAATAGCATCCAACAGAGATCTACAAATTAAAAAAAGGCATTGAGACATAAAGCACTAGAAATTAAACCAATTGACAAAACAAATGCTATGAATTGACTCAATGCTAAAAACTTCCATGATACAGGAGAAAGAAACATTATATATTAGACTTAAGTAAAAACACACACACTAGCACTGACCCTGGTTTCAACTGTTCACTAGTTTCTGCCTTAGAAATATCCCTCTTAATCTTCACCCATATTTCTGCTGCAGATCTGTGGTTATATGGACCCTGATCCAACAGAATGCCCTGAACGACAGCCTCCATAGCTTCCTTATACCTGCCACACCTACGCAAACTCTCTGCCAGATACTCGAAACGCCTGTACAGCTGAAACTGCAAATACATGTCAAGATTTAAATTTTAACTATTTTTGACCACTGATAGAGCCAATTTGCATATTGCCTTGCATTTCAGTAAAATTAAAATTCATGGCATCAGTTAATCTTATATGTTAAATAATGAAATTAAATCTGCTTTAGAAGCCTGTTATTAATTTACAAAATAAATAATACAATAAAAAACAAAATTCAATAAGTTATCATCTTTACATTTTGAGAGATAAGTAAAGAAACTCTACCTCAGACACCTTTTGACTGTCAGAATCAGATTTGCTCCATGCCGCAAAGTGCTCACAGGCAAACTGATAGAAGTCCACTGCATGGGGATACTCAGCATTCATAAAAAAATGACCAGCAAATTTGTATGCATGGAAGCCTAATTAAAAAAAAAAAAAAAAAAAAACAATGCATTATGAAAGCAGGCATGTAACAAAACATGTCATACAAACTGAATAAGTTCTTCACAACAAACAGTCTTTAGTGTTTAATCTGCTTGTGCTTCTTGGACAATTGTTTGCAATTATGTCACTTTTGTCACCCTAAAGTATACTTTAAAACAAACCTAAAAAGTAATGCTCTTGTCCTGTTATGCTGCATTTTCTTGTCTTCTCTACTGAAGTGTAGCACATTTCCAAATCCTTAACTGCCTGAAGACACTGCTTTTGCACATAACTCCTGTTAGTATCTTTTGTGAGATCTCCTTTAGATTCCCCTTGAGCAAGTGGTGACCCTACACAAAGTGAATAAGCATGAAAGTTAACAAAGTGACAATATCTTTCAGAGTAAGTGTGCACAACTACAAGCAAGTAAATGACCTACAGAATGTAAATATTTCATCAACTGAAATATGACAACAGGAAGTACTTCCTTTTTTCTTACTTTGTGTCCTGATAAGTCGTTCCAAAAGAACAGTCAATTGTAGGGTCCGAGCCTCAATTTCTTTGCCTTTCAATATCTGGCTTGATTTCTTGCCCAAGTCTTGCTTTAGACAGTTTTCTCTAAAAAATAAAATACAAGGTATACAAGAAAAAGAAAAAATGATTTCTAGATAATCATATTATATCAGAAAATTTAACTAAAGAAAATCTATTTCAATATTGAATAAGTGTTTCAACTTGTCAGCCTTAAGAGGGACAAACAATATACTAACAAGAATCTGTTATATAATCATAATGACAGATTAAATCTTAATGCCAGTCAAGATGTCTTACATCCTACTTTTAAAATACCACAAACTAATTTGCATACAATACCTTAGCAATGTAATGTAGGTTTCCATAAACTGTGCTATACTGTCTATGACCTCTGAGGTAGCTTCTTGAAAACACTTTGACTTCACTAGGACATCTAATTCAGCTTTCAGAAGAGAGCATGATTCAAGGATTGCACTTTCAGTACTTGTGGTATTTTTCTGTTCCCTAAGCACACTGGTCGTTTCTTTTAGATCCCGGTTTAAATTGTTCCAGATTTTTTGTAACCCCTCACATTTCATCAGCGGGATTTCTTTCACAAGCACAGCTGCTTCACATACACACACACATACTTCTGAAACAAAATTAGCACTATCCTTGGGTCTAGATGAACAGCCCTCTGCATTTTGATTTTTAACCTCCTTGATTAGCAGTGTTGCCTTATCTGTAGCTTTGCACTTCATTAAAAACTGTATGAAATAAACCTCAGTCAACAAGAATGCTTTCTGACACTCCGGCACCTGATCAGAATTTTGATGACTCTCTGCTATCATTTCCCCAAGCACATCTGTCACAGATTTGCGAAACCTCATGCAGCAATCAATTAGCTGATCATGTAGCATTTTTCTTCCTATCACACATCTTGTTAAAACAACCTTGACTTTTTCCACCAGCTCATGAGGATCTCTGTTTTGTAATGTGTAAAACTGCAATGCAAGTTGTCTTATCATCAGCATCTCTAACGAATTTGATCCATTCTCTCCCTGCATGGCATAATTCCATAAGGTTGCATAACAGTTTTTAACAATGGAAAGCAATGTCTGACTCTCGCTGCTATCCAATTTTGTTCTTTGCAGTAGTTTGAAGAGATGCTGGGCAAGTTCCAACACAAACCGAAGAGATCCCTGTGAATTAAAGAGAGAAAATCTACTATCTGACATATATTCCATATTTCAGACATATTTCACTTTTACTTGTTTAAAAAATTACAACTAAGGACAGTTCTAAATAGTGTTAATTACATACTACTCAAAGTCATGTGGTTTGACACTTGATAAAAATAATTACCTTCTTTGATCCTCTAGTTAAAATGTGATAGACCACTTTCTGAACTGTCAGTGGCTCTTTAAAATTTAAATGTTCCCATGTTTGATGGATACACTGTAAACAGGATTCAATAGAAGACCACAGTTCATCCACAACACTGGCTTCCACTGCATCCAGTGTGACCACACTGGCATGTAGAAAACGAACGCAAAACATGCCATAATGGGACTTTTCTGTAGCTGAAAACACATTTGGGTTTTCCAAGAGAGGGCCAAGATAATCCTAGAAAAATAGGATGAAACACTCTCATTTAGACTCTAGATGCATTTTACTTGTATCACATCTTAGACATTTATGTATGAGAACAAAACATATTAAGTCTCTTATAAATAAAGACAATTAGTTTGAGTTTTTTTATCAATTATTTATACTTTCCTTGGATTTCACTTCATTACAGTAAACAACAGCATTTAAAGCGAATTATACTTACCTTTAACAGTAACCCTAGGCTGTGAATCTGGCCATTCTTCAGATCCTCTATAATCAATTCACCAGCCATTCTAGAATTAAATTAGAAAGATTCTATTATTAAAACCTTGGTTTTTAAACGTTGGTTTCCTGATAGACATCAGAGACCTGTATGACGGAGTATACTTATATCATGTCAGATATGTATTCAAAAGTATCAGAAAATTATATCTTACAGACGAAGGTAAGATGAGGCTGTTTTGAATTAAAGCAGTCTTGGTCAAGTTGGTGGCAGACGGTCAAGATTCCAAAGACGACAAACTAAATAGCTTGCAGTCAAATCAATTTAAATGCAAGTTATCCAAATATACACAATTGGTAATAACTGAAACTCACTGAAAAACTTTTAAAAGACAATTACCTGCTCTACATTTGATAATAAGGATATATAATCTGTTTTCATTCAAAAGCCATAGTTTACATCATTTAAAATGGCCGCCTTCAAGGGCACTCGAAAGAAAGGGCCGACTATTGGCTAAAAATTGAAGCAGACCGTATTAAATCTATCAGTGTCTCGTTTACATCATAATCTGGGTGGTGAGGAATCTAATTCAACTTTTATAAGATAAAGGCTACAATGCCACCAAAGATAAATATTATGAGGTCTCGAGAATAAAACCTTGGTTTTGGACAGTCTTGAAATAAATAAAGAGAGGGTAGACACCTATTGGTAATCCATTTCTGCTGGTAGTTCGCTGCTGAGGCGGCAGACAGCGCCGTTTTGACGTCTTCAGCTATGTTGTAAGTTCAAAACCCATTGTTAGTTCACATCAGTTCTGACGAAGAATTACTGCAATAGTATTTGGCATAGTTTCTGAGCTCTTATTCTCTTGTTAAATTAAGTTCGGCGCCAACGTGTTTCTAGAGGAGTAGAGAAAAAGTAAACGAGTTGCGCTTGCACTGCAGTGAAGTTCATGTAACGTTACAGTAAGTTGACGGTGTTTTTTTCGATATTAGAAGGTTGCCCTCTCATTCCTGTCACCTCTAATAATTTTACAGCGGATGAAACATTTGTTTCGAATATGTACATTCACTTTGTATTATTTCAGCGGGAAAGGAACTTCGTGCTTCACATTGTTTGAAAATCCACCACGCTGGTAAGATGAGGCTTCATAGACACGGCAAGCTTGCCTTACTTTTGGCCTTAGCCTTGGTGTTTTGCTGGCTCTTACTCTATTTTGTAAGTTCATCGGGGACAAAAGAAGATCCAGACGAAACAAGAATTATATTGGCTCCTCCAATATGGGAAAAAAGAAAACTTCAGCAACCAGACGATCAGTTTTACAAAGAAAAAGAAGATAATGAATATGTACCTCAGGGTGATGGAACTTCAGTTTTGAAGCTGCCAGATCATGGTGGGATGATGACTGTCATAGATGACTGGGAAAGAGAACAGTTACATGGCCGTGGCCCTGTTGTGAGGAATAAGCAAGATGTATTTGGTGCTGATGATAAAAAATTTGTCTCCCAGAAAATGCTCACAAATCAAGAATCAGAACCAGGTGATTCTAAAACTAACAAGGATGCAGCAAATATCAACAACAGATTAGATAAGCTTGCAAAAGAGATGAAAATTCTGCTGAGTGACTTTGATGTCAAGAACCAAGATTCAAGTCAAAAGGAAAATTCAGTGGTCGTGCAAGAAACCAGTAGTTCGAAGGGCACTGTACCTCAGTCACCTCAGTACGTAGACAAAATTGCTATACTTACTCCAATAGCTAATGCTGAGAGTAGGCTAGATAGCTATGCTAACCTTATTAGGTCTTTGTCTTACCCACACAGTCTGATCTCTGTCATGTTTGGAGAAGACTCAAGTGGAGATGGGACTCTTGAAAAAGTCAAGGTTGTAGTAGATAGACTGAAACACGAGTTTCGTAGAGTCCAGTTCTTCCATTTCAGTGATAATTTTTATATAAAGCAAGACTGGTCAGAAATCCACCGGAAATCAATTCAGTTAAAAAGACGCTCCCACTTGGCTAAGTCACGCAACAATTTGATATTTGAAGGACTTAGAGATGAAGACTGGGCACTATGGATAGACAGTGATGTAACCAGTTTTCCAAGTGACTTGATACAAAAACTTTTGGCTGCAAAAAAAGACGTGGTGGTTCCAAGTTGCATGTCAATGGATGAGAGAGGTGATGTTCATCTCTATGACAGAAATACATGGCGTGAAACCAAGTCCTCTCTTGCCCTACAGAAAGTTCGATCTCCAGATTATCTCATGCTAGAAGGATATGATCAGAGTGAGAGGCTCTTTTTACCAGATTTAAAATCTGAAGGAGATGTAGTTCAAATAGATGGGGTTGGAGGATGTGTTCTGTTGATAAAAGCTATTCATCACAAGCAAGGTCTTATATTTCCCCCATTTATATTTGATCATCACATTGAGACAGAGGGTCTTGCCAAGATGGCAAAGGCAATGAATATATCTCTGTGGGGTATGCCAAATTTGGAAGTATATCATTGAGGATGCTGTCCACTGGTGTTGTCATTTATGTCCGTGAAAATATCTATAGATGAAATGGCCAGATTTTTTGGTTTACATTATGTGCAAGTTTCCAATATCTCTAGTCGTGTCACTGTGAATTAACGGACCATGTCAATAATTGCATAATTTTACTTGCACAATTTAGAGGTATAACTAATTGTCAGATGTTTAACTGCTGGTAATATTTTTTATCTACATGTATTATCTTATTTCCAGTAATCGTATTTACATTCCTATATCACGGAAACATTCTCTACTTTATATCTGCGTGGTTAATTTTTTAAAAAATATTTTATTAGAAGCAACTTATCAGAGAGTAATTACTTATGATGTACAAACTGCACACTTTTTCTAATATTTTATTTCTTTTGTAGTTTTGAATAAATCATTCCAGAAACATGTGCACTTCTGATATGAAGCCATTTCACTTTTCAGACTTTTTAGTTCAAATCTAAAAAGTGTAAAGTGTAAATTAGAAAACATTGAGAAAAATTGTGCACAGTTTGAATTAATGAAGTAATTACCATACAAACAATTAAATTGGGCATATTATATGAAAAAAAAACTTTATTTTAAAAATGTACATGCTCTTATTGTTTACTAGTAAGTAATTGGAGAGATCTGTTACAGGCATTCCTTAAATTGATATATGCATTTTTATTCCTAATGGAATTGCAACATTACTAAAAAAAAATGTAATTATTTTGTTGTTAAGCTTTTGCCCCTTGAAATATATGCAGATGGATTGTGCTTGTTGGTCATGATAGTGTTAAATATGGTGATTAATTTTAAGTGTGCATTTTTGTGAGCCGTTCTGTTCTGTAGGAATTTCATTTTCCTGGCATTTAGAACAAAATAATGTTCCCAGTAGGAAATTATTTATTTTGATATTTTTTTACATAGTGCAGAAGAATACATTCAAAATTAGTAGCAAAATAAGATTTAGAAGTTTTAGTGCAAATATTACTTATTTTCGAAAATATTGATAAGATTTATCAGTGTTATGTCAATTTTTAGTCACATATATACCAAAATATATTTTTATTGTCAGGTAATTTTTGAAAATGAAGAATTATGGTTAAAAAATTTGTATATGCCACAAATTGGGCAAATGGCTTCAGTTGCTGGCATTATTATGCGACATTTCGCATTTATCAAAATGGGGTTAATAAGAGGGAGTTGGAGCAAAGGTAGTGTTTATAACATGCTGTTGTTCTTAATCTTAAGAGGGGGGTCGTATATAACACTGATTGAGATAAGTTAATACCACTATAGTTCACTGCTGTTCAGTAGTCATGTTTTCACATGTAATCTCATACTTTTACATAGTAACTTCTGCATTTAAAAGTTTTTTGTGTTTGAACAGTTGGTTGTTCATTAAGACAACCCTGGAGACCATGCTATGCAAAAACCCAATCTGTTTACATAATTCAGTAGCTTAGGTGCTAGATTGTTTCACTTTTTTTTATAAATTAATTTTGATTTTCTTTTTCAGTTTTCTTTTTCAGTTAATGATGCATTTGTTTTTAAAACAAAGTCATTTATTTGAGTTGCACTGGCAAATTGAAAGTGTTAATGATCTGCAGATTTATCTTTGTAAGCTCTCAGTTGCTTACATGTTTTCAAATAAAGAAATATTTTCACTGAAGTGTTTTTTAGTAATCTCAAGCAGACGTGCTACTTACAAACGTCACATATTTTTGGTTAAAAGATTTTAAATTAAATGTACACGGTGTGGTGTTTTGAGTTATACAGAATATCAGTTGAAGGGAAAATATGAGCCAGATCTAGTGAGAAAATGTGGAATTTCCCTTTTAACCCCTTCATCAATAAACCACATATTAAATGCTTCATTGCCATCTGAGGTTCTGAATTATTCATGTGTAAAGGTTACATTTCCACTTGGGTATATTGTAATTTTGTATTGCCAGTTGCTGAACAGAGACAATTTCACTACACTAGTATTATAGTCATTTGTCAGGCTATGGGGACAATGTGTATTTATTTTTCAGTGTGAAGGGAAAGGAAGGTGTGGTTGGTATTGTGAGAACAATAAGAGTGTGAGGTTGGGCTAAAAAGGCACTCAAATATTATGCAAGTGTCCTGCCTACCAAATGTCCCTGTCAGGCAATAGATGCTTCTTGCTTTGGATAACTTGAAAACAGAACTATTGTAACACAACTTCAAGCCATTGAACAAAGGAGACAATTCCATCATGATTAGTTATAATAATTATATAGATCACCTGAACAATCAGTCTCAAGTACACCTAAAAATTGGGAATGTTAAAGTTATAATACTAAGGCTTTTGGGTCACCTAGCTATTGACCATTGATGTAGTTACATTGCATCGATTGGCAAAAAGACCTTAAATATTGTTAGCATTGGAAGTTTATGAATAGTATTCTTTTAAAAAACCCTGAGCAAGTGAATTGGCAACTATTTGAGAATTTGGCAATTTTCCTTTGATTATACAACAAAAAATTTCAGACCAGACTGACAAAATAACCAGTCTTTGGTTATTAGGTCCATATGTCTCACTAAAATCAGATCATCACATAAATAATGTTTACAAAAACAGTTTTGAATATTATACAGTTGTGGGTATATAAAAAAAATTCAGCCAAGTAAATGAAATATGTGAGAACCAGGCAAATATGTATTTAAATTAAATAATCACTATCCAATAAATTGATGAAAATTACTGTTACAATTGCGACAAAAATAATATCACACCCAATATTAAGGATGTCTAAACAAATTGAAGGAACGCCTTACTTAACATGTCTAGCAATAATAATAATTATAATAATAACCACAATTCAAATTCAGCTCCCATGCACTAGAAATTAACACTGAACCGCACCAAATACATAAAATCCAACAAGAATTGATCTAATCGTAGTCTTAATATGAGTTTTTTTTTTTTTTTTTTTTTTTTTAAATAACC